AAGAATGCGATCACATTGCAAGCTCTTTTTGTTGTAGCAAGTTTTTTCCTATATATAGTTACTTCTAGTCGTACGTGTCGGACTATTGGCGGCGAGGAGTCAGGAATACGCTGGACAACCGATAAGAAGACTCTAGAAGGTTTGGATTTCGCATGTGGATGATATATGTCTAATGTCACACAAAATCGAATACTTGCCAGCGAAAATCTGCAGACCGGCTGAAGAAGCAGGCAAAGGAAACAGGACTGCAAAAGAAAACAGAGAAGACAGAGCTGATGAAGATAACCAATCAACAGCAACAGCAACAACAACCAGCACTTGTTACCATCAACGGGAGAGACTTAACAGAAGTTGCCTACTTCACTTATCCAGTCAGGAAGCCAGGCAGAATGGCAAAGGCAAGATACGCAAGCCTTCATCAACCTGAAACCAGTTTGGAAATCATCTGCACTGCACTCAGCATAAGGAACAAAGTTCGCATTTTTAACACAAATGTGAAGTTGTTTCTTCCATACTGGTCAGAAATTTGGCCGATGCGTGACGAAAAGGAATTCCAACAGCTTTTTGCAGACTTCTCCATACTGAAGATCAAATGGCCTGCTGACCAGAAAGAATAAGCAACAAGAAACTATGGGAACAAACCAACAGGCATGAGCCGATCGCTCAACAAATATGTAGGAGAAAGTGGAGATGGACTGATCAGGCATTCATTGAGGAGGCCACTGAATGATACTGCACGTCAGGCCCTCGAGTGGAATCCGAGTGGGAAGCGATGAGTGGGTCGTCGGCGCCAGGGTGACATGGAGGAGACCATGTGAAGAAGAGATGAGAGAGTTCGGACAATCGTGGACCTAGCTGAAGAGGACAGAAGAAAACAGAACAAAGTGGAGATGTGTTGTTGAAGCCCTATGTTCCAATCGGAACGCAAGGGAATAATACCAATGACAATAATAGTCGTACGTGGTGCGATACAAGGAGACAGTCGTGTATAGGGAGAATGCTCAGTGATCTACAAGATAATATTTGATAATTTCTTGCATGAGTCCATGTGTCTATCCACAATAGCATTACCAAGTTGGTTTAACGACACAACCAAAGGGATTAAATCGATTTAGATAACATTTATCATGTATTAAAAAGTAAGTTAGATGCTCAGAATGTCAACGCATGACAGTAAGAAAAAGTTCCAAAGTCATGTTCATCCGAAGAGACGGTTACTGCACATACCGGGAATTCTAAAAATCCAATTCATTCCCAAACTGACACTGATGATATTGTCCAGAGGGTGCTTTAATTAAACCATCCATCTCAGGGAAAGGAAACAACACTAAGGCTTAAGGATTTAAGCAACTGAGGTACACGGAATGTGAACACTTCAAAAGAGTAATTATTCCTTTTATCTACACTAACAATTTGTCATTGTTCCCAGGCACGGTTAACTTACTCAAGAAGACGACTATTTATCTTTAAGTTACAAGAGTTACTGTAGGAATTTGATTTGTTTCGAATTTGACGACGGATTGATTTAAGTCAGGGATCCATAGGAAACCACATAGTACTGGACAGCCACTTTGCTGCAGTAGGCACACACCACACAAGAGTTCGAACCCAGAACCTTCAGGTTACAAGGAAAGCTAGCCCGCAGACCATTCAGCCACTGGGACCTAAACCAATGACCTATTAATTCCAACTCCTACTAATTCGTCATTTTAACGCGACTGGCACCAGCCAATGTCATTCGTTGCAAGTATTTTTCCTCACTTCCGACTGTTTAGATTCATTGGTCACGTATTCTTCCTAGAATTCACTAGCAAGCAACAGATTAATTTTCAAGCGTTAGATTGTAGGGATTTTTCTTCACATTCAACTTTCATCAGTTGAAATATCCACACATGCGGTTGGGTAAGTGGGTAACAAAATAAAACCCTATAATTATAGAATTAGTAGGCGAATATAGAGTGCTGCGCTACATAACATGGTGTGAAACTTGATGTGATAGAATTCAATATTGTAGAAAAAACATTTTGGATTTAGAATGACAAGTGAAACAAGCAGAAACAACTCATAGTGAGCATAGTAATAATAATAATAATCGTAGTAATAAGGGAAAGGTACATAGATTAACTAAATAAACAAAATAAATAAATATCCATCCTTCTACGGCCAAGGCAGAAGTAGGGATTGTACATACTTCTTTTGTACACAAAAGTGTGACTTAAATTCAAAAATGACCAAAGCCTCCGCCGTCTTTAGAAGTCTATAACGAAGAAAATGCAGCAAGTTTGCATGAATTCGGTAAACGATCTTAAAATTTTTAAGCTGACGAGTGCCAACTAGCACAAAACCGAGGTCCAAGGCTTCCTGCCAATTACCTCTAACCATCTAACATACTAAGCTTTATTAAATATCATTTACAGAACTTTAAGAAAATAGGAGATCTAAATTTGTCTTTAAAAACGCATACAAATTATATTAAAACTATACAAGGTTTGCACAGAATTTCAAATAAAATAATTCCTCTTATATAAAGAAGTTATTATTGTCGACCTCCACCTCCAGTATTCCCTCCTCCTGCTGCATTAGGATCTTGCATATTGGAGAAAAGAATGAATATGAAGACTGCTGGAATGATGTAAGTCCACTGGAAAACAGAAAACAAACAAAAAATGATAAATCATGATAGACTAGATGGGATTCACTTCTGAAGTGAAATGAATAATTCGTCTGTGCTCTGAATGCAGAACATACAGCTACAAGATTTCAAAATATCCGTAGCAATGGCGTTATTTTAACGGGATGGACTTGTTAGCCTAACACTCAATATTTCCTCTCTTCCGGGCATAGTACACCGGACGAGGTATAGGAGTGAGTCAGCCAGGAATTGGATCTGGACCTCCCTCATGTCTTACAAGCACCCTACCATTGAAGTACTGCCGCGTTTAAACAGAACAACAAATTTTGAGGATAAGCACACAATTGTTAATCTGGGTTTTCCGAGGTGAAGTCTGATCAGTTGAATTCACGGTTTCTTCGAACTACTTTTTCTGCCTATCACACACACACACACACTAATTATGGTAAACTCATTTGCTTTTAAATCTCCTTTAATTCATCTTTCTATGGAAGGAATGTATGCATTTGACACCTCAGTCTTTACAATTAGGATTGTAACAGTAACTACACTCCTATGCACCACTTTACTCTCTCAGACTGAAAAACTAAGTTCTTTAAAAGCATATAATAATCAGGGCATAAATATCTTGCCATGTTGTCTAGGATGCTAGAATAATCCACACAGCCATTATTGCTGAATTTCGGGGAGACTGAGGAAGATCTAGATAACTGGATAAAATCCGAAAGCTTGAATTGATAACTCAAAAATCTAGTTACATTGGTACGCGTTGACATACTCGCTATCCGTATTGTAAAAAAGAACTTCAGGTAGAAATTGGAAGGCAACAGATCAAAGTTAAACCTTGCATAGAAATGTAACACCTCAGCTTGCTACATTTTGAAGCATGGCATGAAGAGAATGTGAATAAATACATGCCGTCATTAAAATAAAAACCGCCCATAGGTTTATTATAACTTCGTGGAAACTCAAGAAATGAGTTTCGATGAGGTATTATAACTGATTGGTTTCAACATCTACGCATCTACGCTACCACTGAGAATAATTTCGAGCCACATCACCAATTTTTTCAGCTGTTGGTTCTAAAAACCCCGAAGACCCCAGCAAATCAGGAAGTCTGAACCTCCCTTCGTGGCCCAAAGTAACTGTCAAAGATTTCACCGACTGATTCCAAGTTGATCGTTTTTCAGCTAACGTTGCCCATTGAGGAAGGCGATGGTTAGACATGAGTAACGCAAGTCCAAGCCATCTCAATCGATTCACCTTCACAACCTCATCGATTGACTTTCCCTCTTTACCTAACACTCGATGCCTTACCTCAATGTCAATCACCACCTAACATGGAAGATAGAATGAAGTTTAATCCAATTACTAACTCATATGCCAAAGTAAAATCTCCCACAGAACATCTCAAGATGCCAAACTTCAGAAAAGCCCATAGAATGGGACAGCAGAAACATACATCTAACTAGAAGAACCGCTAAGGGGAGATCATTGTAGATTTCCAGGAACAAGAGTAAACACATTCTTGGGATTGAAGACCATTTTAGGCCACGTCACAAAGCTTCCAAACATTGACAGTCAGCGGTCGCTACTTGGCTCACAACAATCTTTCATGATTTTATGGGTTGGTACTATATTTTTTTTCTGATCATGCCTTACGTGAAACGTCTATATTAGCTGTGTACTTAACATTAACTGTAACGTTTTCTGGTGATAAGTATATTCTTTAAACATGAAAGTTAACCGGACTAGTCATCAGTCTAGTGAGAAAATACATCCCTTTAAGCTGCTGAACTTTGGAAAGGCACACAGAAAAAATGTATTGAAATTACAAGATGTATGTTAGTGTACAATTAAATGAAAACCAGTAAGGAGTTTCAAGACTTGAATGATAGCAAGGAATGAATAAACCTCTGGTATTGCAAACAATATTTAGCCATTTCACTAATTCCTGGTATCTCAAAGACCTCAATCAGACACTTTACACCTCCCTGAATAACTTGTATCAACAGTCAAGGACTTCATGGACTTATGTGAGGCCTTCGTCTTACTACTTCTAGCAAAAGAAGTTTGTTCCACTTTTGTCTCTCCCTTGGCCTAGGTGAATTCTATTCAAAACCCTCCCACCCTTTCTTATCTTCCATCTCCTTCATACTTTTATGATATTTACTTAAACTCTGATTATCGTTCCCTTTCACCTTTTAAGATTTGACCTAGTTTATTTATTTATTGAACTGTCTATATATATATATATATATATATATATATATATATATATATATATACTGTCTCTGTTATTCTTATCACCTGCATAAACCTTATTATCAATATTTTGTTATCATTATAATCATCGTTATTAAATTTCGTTCAAAACATTTACCACATTATTGTTATTATTTGATCCACAAAATCACCGTCATTGGTTAAAAATTTTTATATATAAGTCTATGTAAATTAGAGTAAAGCCTGAAGAAGATCTAAGTGAAAATATTGTTCACTTATATGTCTTGTTCTAATACTTCCAACAAGTTTTTTTAAATCTAATACTACTTCGGCTAACACAGGTTGTCAAGGAAGCTGTTAGCTCGGCAAGCATAAATGATACCCCAGCCATCTCGAAATACACAGCCTTATCGATTAGCTCACCATTCTTATCTAACGGCGCACGTAAACTCACTACCATTAACCACAGTACACCTAACACGAAACTATATGGAAGCACTGGCGGTTGGAAACCGCTGTTCTTTCTACATATTGCACCTTTAACAGACTGGTCTCACAGTCATGAAGTGAAATGGCTGTCATGCCAAAGCCAAAGATAATGCAAATTGGTAAATGATAAAAGTGCATTTTGAATCCGTCCTGAGACCTCGTTGGAAATCAGTACATTGGGGTTGATGCCACTTTCCAACAATCTCACTACTTATCTTCAAACTAGACTAGGTGCAGATCAGTCCTGGAGAATGATCTTACGCTTGACATGAGTAACAACTCAATCCCAGATGAATCAAAGTCAACCACTATTAGTACATATATGATGGAAGTGAAGACGGGTGATGTCATCAAGTATTTTTGACACATAACGCTAGGTGTCAGCACTTTAGACAACAACTCTTTACGAGCTCCCAAAGGACTACATGAATGAGAATAGACTGTTTTCACTAACATTGTATCATCTCTCGAAACGCTATCCGCAGTTATCATAGTCAAAAGGATACTTGAATGACAAACAAGAATCCCACCTTCAGCTTACGTAGAAGTAGCAACTTGAACTAGTATAATTCCGTGGAAATTCCTACATTGGTCAGTTAATCAACCAAAAATATAGCAAATCTCGGATGCGTGTATTTCTACATTTCAGAGCCTGTTATTTACATTTGTGCAAAACGTAAGCTCAATTCACATCAGGATGGAAAATATGCCCAGTTAAAAATGGTTGTCGATGACTAGTAGTCATTCTGCATCATTTGGGTTAGGTGCATATCAAAAGTAAACACTTCAAGGGATTACTGAGTCAGCAGAACCACTTGATGACTTACATATTTTGCGAAAAATGAGCGGTTGTCACTCTGTTCAGCGCGAGCCATCTCTTCCCGTTGTCTTTCAAGTCTTTCAAGATATTTTGCAGTCTCCGGACTATGTATTTTATTATCAATGAACATCACAGTTACCTTGATCCCAACTTCGGTTTCTGAATTTCGAAGTTCACAGATATGTCTGGAAGGTCCAAGTGATTGATGGAAGTATCAGAGGGACAGTCATATTTTGAAGTACTTAAATGTATGGCGACTGGATTTCCAACGTCGTTAACACTAAGAGTTAACTTAAGTTTCATCCTAGAAGCAACAAGTTGGCACTTTAAAACACTAGAGAATAGAAAATTTTATTACCGCTAGGATAGAAGACTCAACGAACTCTTTGTCCGAGATGGGAATACGAATAGTATACAGCCTGCCAGCCTTAGCAGACTCCTACAAGTTAAGGAGACATTATATTGTGTTATAACACAAACTAGTAACAGCTGTTTTTCATTCGCGGTAAAACTATGGCCATCAGATACTAAACTTAGTACCCCAGAAGATGATTTGATCATAATTCCATTTAATTGGCTGAAAGCTCCATCTGACAATTATTTCATGATGTACACTACATACCTTCCAGTAAACTATGTTCTAGCAAGTAGGTAGAGGCTGAATTATCATAAGCCTTGTAAAGATAAATTCAAATTAATTTCGTCTTACATAAACTGAGGATAAAGAAAGTACATGTACTAAACACCATGCAAGAAACATTACAAAGAATCCGTGAAATCCTTATGTAAACAACACGATTGTAAGTAGCGCTGATGTGTGTGCGCACTAAAATAACATTTAGATTTATTGGTTGATGATAGAAGGCTTGAAGCCTATGTTGATCCTTTTCTAGTAAATTTATGTGCTAATCTAAACCCTTCTTGGATGAATCAGTTGGAGCTGCAGACCACGTGAAACCACGTGCAGTCACCGTGCGACATTGTGCTGTAGTTTTTAAGTAGTGACTTACTATGACATATAAATCCAAATAAGTCTGAACTGAAGAGAGTGTAGCGGTAAATAATTCCCCAGAATTGTTGGCCACAGCATTCATCACTGAACATTGGATGCTGACCTCCACTGTTTAAGTCAACTTGTTTAACTGAAGGCTCCCGGTCAAGCAATCACGCCATTTAGTACCCCGTCATGTCAAGTTCGCTCGTTCGTGCACGATCCCTAGCTAGTCAGGCGATCAACTTCGCACTACGATTTGGTACCGAAATATAACTGGTAATTTGGACGATCAATTCTGGTGTTTTGTCTCGCCTTTGGTCTACGGGGAATGAATACTATAGAAGATGTGGGTATTAGATCTTGCATTAGCATACCTCATAATATCCGCAAATGTCAATGCCGTCAGCTTCTCAAGAAGTTTTATTCCCTTTAGTTCGCTGGAGCTGCTGCTTGAGTGTCCGATGCGCATGATTTCACACTTCGCCACAGTGATCGAGACCATCCATTCTATGGACGACTCTGGCAATTTGTTGAGGTCTTCTTGCAACTCAGGCGTGTCATCGATATCCTCCAGCTCTCTCCAAATTTTTTAGTCATCTGCATATCGGACCATTGTGGAGTCTGTGAGCGTAAATAACTTCTTTATACACAAAATAAGTAGAAAAGGTTCGAGCACAGTGCCTTGTGGGAATCCACCACGCACTGTTGTCCCGGAGGAAAGTCTCGAGATGATCCTAACCCTCTATCTCGAGTGGCTTTATTGTATATCCCCGTTACGATGTCCATTATTATGTTGCCTTGGGTTTCACGTGGCTTTGATTTTGGAGAAAGATTTGGCTGATGTAATATTGCGATTTCATGGACATAACTTAGGCTCATAGGTGTAAGAAAGTTATTATCCTGAAATAAGGAGAAGTTGTTCATAAGGTCAGGAGGACATTATTTTTCAGTTTATGCGTATATATACTATTGCGCATCCAGTTGCACCTCGATTCCACATGTAGCAAAAGATTATGGATACCTTCCTCTTCTCTTCTGCATAAGAAAGTTACTTCACAAAATTCGCTATATTAAGCTCAGTGAGGAAAAATATAAATTTGTGAACTGTGCAGGCCACTAAAGTAATGCATTTGACATGCATGCTTCACAGTGAAATCAGGAATGTGCATGATGTACTAAATCTTCTGCACTTTTTGTAAAGATTCGATGTTCATCAAGTGGCCACCTAACAACTGCCGAGTGTTGCAGGCGATCAAGCTAAAACTATAACTAGTAATTCCAAGAATTGTTATCGTTTTCACTGGCAGCAGCTCACAGCCTATTGAGTTTACACAAATACAATAGCCATTTGTCACTTCACTGAGGAGACGATAACTAGGATTCTGGAAAAGTAGTACGTCAGTATGTGGGTTATATGGATCTGTAGATTTCATTCCATTCACTTAATACTGAAACCAAACTATGAGGGAACTGATATTGTCAAGTAGGATATAATACCAGGCTCATTTTTTACAACTGTCATCGTTATTTTAGTCCACTCTCATCATACATCTAATAACAGAATCGTCTGCCACTCACTTTAGCGACTTACAGTGGAACAGTCTCGTCAACTTAGTGTATGCTGATGATATTGTCCACTTAAGCTGTGAGAAGTGGCCAATGAAACTGAAAAATATGAAAAGACTACTGGTTTTGATCGTAGTGTCTGTGCCCTTTCTTCTGTGTTAAGTAGTCTAATATGGTGAGCAATATTGGGGTTAAGCTTAGTGTTAAGTGGAAACGTGACTCCACACGTTGTTAATGACACAGATGGATTCACTCTGTGTAATCTCACATATCTGAGCAACCCTTATGTTTTTTCCATATCACTGATCATTTTCGATCACATATATGCCCATTAGAGTTCCATTTAATTTCTTTTTCCTCTACTTTTGTGTGGTACATGGAATGTGATAACCTAAACGGGTGCATTTGGGTGCAAGCTTCTATGTTTAAAATCAGTCTGTCAGAATGATCTATAGTCCAGGTACAACGAAGTGCTAAGACGTGGATAAAAATAAGCGAAATGTCAACAAATGATAATCGTATTTTTTCATTTGGTTCTTGTCTAACTGAAGAAAAGAGTTATCTTACAATAATCTCCTCTCTTACCCTTTATGACTTTCAAAGTCCGTCTCGTTATATCTCATGAGTTATTTTATTTTATCCCGCAGCCCAAATGCGAAGTCAAAACACATCTGGCGAAATATGTTTTGCTTATTACCAACTAAATATAACATTTTTTAAGTGTGGAATGTAACGAATCGAACTGCTGCACTTCTGTACTCAGTTCTATGTTAAAACTAAGTCAGTCAGGTTTGTCACTGCAGCTGCCTAGTGTAGCAACTCACTACAGTGTTAATTGGCTCTAACAATTATTAATGCCGTTTCTTAAGTACTCTGTGCATTTCTCAATTCCTTGAATTGCTCAGATGAAGTGAACCGAAGAAAATATAAACCAAAAGTCAGTAACACGGACATAAGAAATAGTGTGAATAGAAGTGAATGAGATGGGTGATTTTTTATGCCTGTAGCACGCTTAACTAAAATACTCGTGTATATGAATGAAACAAAGAGTTTTGTGAGTGACTTGATATGATTATGAGCAATAATTTGTGCTGGAAACGTCGTCAGATAATACTGCTGTACAACGCTGTGTGATTTATCAAAATAAAATCTTATCCATAATGAAGTTATACTCTACCACAGTGTCCAAGTTCTATACTTATTTCAAAAATACTTATATTTTGTGTCGCTTAATTGTTTAATTTTTATCTTCCTCAATGCAGGTTGTCATTCATCTTAGACATTCTACTAGATGTCATACATATTGTCTGCAAGCAATACAATACATTCAACTCCCACAAAGTTGTTGACGTGGAGCACTGAGACTATTCAATTAGGGTAGTAGTACAAATAGTATGCTTATATTACTAATGCAATGACATTCAAGATTTGTACATGTTACTGTGAAGTTTGTCTGTAATAGAATTCCCTCCATAATAAGTACAATGCTTGCGATAATAATTCGTCATTATCTTTTCATTGCGCTGATACGTGCGTATGTATCAGAAAAAAAACTAACCTAGTCGTATTAGTTCTCTAAAATACTTTCCCTAAATGCCCATACCTCTGCTGAATACCAAGTGTCAATGTAGTTGAAGATTGAGCGATCAATTCACGGTTGTTTGCTCAAAACCAACTTCCCTATATCTTCGCAGAGGCATCAATACACCAGTCATCGTCTCATCGGTCGCTGTTCAGAAAGAAGATCGAAAGCCGTCAGAAGTAATATCGTGATTAATTACTGTAATATTTGTTCATAGACCTTGGTTATTATGCTGCTCATATGTTGGCGTTAGAATAAAGAATACTCAAGTTGCCAATCGGTGTTTTGGTTTTTGCCTCCGTTAGTACTAAGCGTTTCTGAAAGGCTTCGAGGGACAGCGAGAGGCCCGGCGTAGCAAGAGCTGGGCATTAACGGTTTTTGAGACGTGATTGACGCCAAGTGCTACTCATGGTTCATGAAATACGTTTTACTGCTTTTGTGAATAACTATAGAACCATTATTATTTGGAGTAGTATGACAGAAGGCGTGTGACATTTAGATATTAATGTGTATCTGAAGTTAATGACACAATATATATGTACATGTTTCATTTCCAAACAAAAACATTTTATAGGGTAATGTAAGGATGAGCGCAGTGAGTTAATAGTGCGTACATCTTGTGTCAATGTAGTTGAAGATTGAACGATTGTCAATCACGTCTCATAAACCGTTAATGCCCAGCTCTCGCTACGCTCGGGCCCACGAGGTTCTTCGAAGATTTCAGAAACGCTTAGTTATAACGGACGAAAAAACCAAAACACCGATCTGCCACTTGATATTTCTTCATTGTTACACCAACATATAAAAAGAATAAGTGAACTAAGGTCTGTAAACAAATATTACAATAATAAATCACAATATTACTTCTGACGGTTTTCTGCTCTTCTTTCTGAACAGCAACCGATGAGACGATGACTGTCGTATTGATGCCTCCGCGAAAATTGGGGAAGTTGGTTTTGAGCAAACAACCATGAGTTGATCGTTCAATCTTCATCTACATTGACACTCCCCGGCAAAAAAGAGATCCATCCCTTTTTTCCATCACGACCAACACACGTTGACTTGGATGCCATTGCGAGAACCTGGGTCGCACGGACAGAGCTGAAATGGAAAACAAACAGAAAAGCCAACACACCACAAGCATACTCACAGCACAATCTCACACATCGCTGACGACCTGCGCCTCCAGTTAAAGGCATCATCTTGACATCTTGCAACACAATCGCCACTTGCTAGAATGACTCTTGCAGAATGCAAAGTGACCATAGCAGCACCTCACGATACTCTACGCACATCCTCTTATCTACTCATTAGCAATTACCACTGAAATCGCTTGTCACTCATTCTGCCTCAGATCTAGTGACGGTGACGTATGCGAGCCTCAGTCGTTTACACTCTTTCTCCCCGGCGTGTGGAACTGCAGCTAACAATTATCTCCGTGTGCATTTCATTCTCAGCAACAGCCTAGCCTCCCCGGCGTATACGACCCATCTGCTGTCCTTAACATCAATCAATTCATTCATGGATGTAGAAGACTCGAAACAACTTCAGAAGTAATCACGACGAAAATTTTAACAAAATTACGCAATAACAACAAGATACGAAAACAACAAGTAAA